CACCAAGGGTCTGGGTAACCGGGGGTACTCTCGTTGCTGGTGTGGGGGTGCGTGGTGTGAATGAGCCAGAGAGACTGGGAAACAAAATCCTGTGGCACGTCACTGGGCCTGCTAAGGATTTGTTACCTTTGTGTAGTAGCCATGGGAACCCATTCACATGTTATAAGTAAGGAGATGACAGGGTCATATTTGAGTTTCAAAAAGATCATTCTGCAACAATGAGGAGAAAAGACTGGAAGGAGCTCTAGCAGACCTGAGATAGTCCACGCTGCAGTCATCCAGGTGAATGGAAGGGTGGAATGCTCAACATGCTGGGCACTATTCTAAGTGCTGTCCGTGTGTGTCCCTCCTCTTAATCCTTACACAAACCCTACGAAAGAGGTACTGCTTTACACTATTTTACAGATGGAAATCGAAGCACCCAGAAGTCTAATTCCAGAGGCCACCCTCATGACCACTAAACCACATTGCTTGCAGGTGGTAATTCAAAAAGGGAGAAAGTGGATTCAAAAGCTTTTTGGAAGTAAAATTGGCAAGATGATGTGTTGAATATGGGACTTTAGCAACCATACTGGGACACTGGAAGAAAATCAGGTTCAGAATGAATTACAAATTTGTCTTTGCAGATGTTTGAATTCAACCAAAAGGAGAAACTGAGGAGACTATTGTCTTAAGAGATAGGAATGGGGCCCCACTGGTGAAGAGAGAGGGTGGTTAAATCACAAATAGGATTGCCTCCCTGGAAATTCTGGCATTTAATTGCAGGATAAGCATGCACATGAGGTGTAGCCAGACAGACAGGATTAAAACCAGTAAAGCCAGAAGTTAGTATCATTAAATCCAAAGGAAAATAATGTTTCAAGGAAGGGTTGAGCAACCATGACAAATGCTGTCAGGGGAGAGGCAGAGATGAGGACAGGAAAATGTCCTTCAAAGTTTGTGAAGACTTGAGGGCAGCTGAGGTATCAGAGTAGAAGCAAGTCTTTCTTTCCAGATAGAATACATTTAATGAGATTTTTTTTTAATGTTGAAGAGAATTATCCAATTGACAGAGTGATTGAATATATAGAAGGAATAACTGACTGTTAATTTTCTAAAAAGGTAGGAAGATTAATTTTCTAAAAAGGTAGGAAGATGGGATGCAAAGCAGGGGAAGATTAATTTTCTAAAAAGGTAGGAAGATGGGATGCAAAGCAGGGGAAGGGGGATTCATCTCAGACAAGCAGATGGGCCTGCCTCTAACGCATCAGCAGGGCAAGTTCTGCAGAAGGGGGAGGGACTCTAGGCTGGGGCTTCCATTTGCTCAGTACCTGCCTGGGTGGGAGCATAACCAAGGGCAGAGATTGCTCCCTCCTATGCTCATATATTTCTGTCCTCACCAAATCACTTGTTTGATTGAAATGGTTCCCAGAATTGCTTATTTTAGTGGTTCCTGATATTATAAATACAAAATTAAACATTGAAATGAAATATGAGTATTAAAGGACTGATGTTTCTATGAAAATTTAGGTTGAAGGGTTTGGGAAAATTTTATAAAAGGCAAGAAGCTAAAAATTCCTTGCATCTAGGGATGAATGAGCAACTGTAAAAGATGGAAAGATACAGTAAAAATCTTTGCTCTGCAGGGTTCTATTCTTGACCCAATTTTAAGAGAACAAAACAGGAAATCACAGAATTATAAGTCTGACTCTTACCGAAAAAAAAGAGTAAGATTGAACTCTAATGGATTACATTCAGTGAATGAATGAATGAATGAATGAATGAAAATAAATAAAAGCCTTCCTTACCTCAGTTCAGGATGAATATGAAACTGAGCAACTTCTAGAGTAAGTTGTCACTTAGAAGGCTTCTATGGTTACAAAGGTGAATAAGAAGTAAGGAAAGGCCCTGCGCATAGCTCAGAGGTTGAGCATCAACCCATGAACCATGAGGTCATGGTTCGATTCCTGGTCTGGGCAAATTCCCGGGTTGGGGGTTCGATTCCCAGTAGGGAGCGAATAGGAGGCAGCTGGTCATTGATTCTCATCACTGATGTTTCTATCTCTCTCTCCCTCTCCCTTCCTCTCTGAAATCAATAAAAACATTTTTAAAAAGAAGGGAAGAAGAGAGGGAGATTAAATTATGGGTTGCCTATCTATAGTAAGAAAATTGCTATTTGACAAGTATTTTTAAAATTTGACTCCTTATAACAACCCTAGGCATTATCATTCTCCTTTAGCAGACCAAGAAACAGAGAGGTTAAATGATTTCCAACTACCAAGTTCTAGAACTTGGGTAGAAATTCAGTTTTCCTGACATTTATTATCCTATCTAAATTGGCCAATTCCAATAGTCTTACGTACTCCTGGACTTATTCTCAAACATGTTCCACCTCCATGTCCTCTGCCAGCCACTCATCCATGATTCATCCTTGTCCTTCACCTCCCATATCTAATCAATCACCAAATCTGTCAGACTTTCACCAATATCTATTCAGTTTGCCCTCACTGCCAGCCTTGCACAGGTTCACATCATCTTTTGCATGGACTATAGCAAATTTCCTGTTGCCACATTTCTTAAACAGTCAGATCGGAGCAGCAGCATTCTTCACTGTGTATCAGTTGGACACCTGGCTCCACCTTCACATTCTTTTTTCATTTTGCTTCCACGAAAGCCCCTGGTTCTCTTTCTAGTCCTTCTCAGTGTCCTTACTAGCCTGTTTTTCTTTTACTGGCCCCTTAAATTTCCATCCTCCTTAGGAGCCACTCCCTAGGTCTCTTATTCTAGCCTCTCTCAGCAGATCCTATTTTTTGCCAACAGCTTCAACTACATTCACATACTGATGCTCACCAAATCTGCTTTCAACCATGCCCCTCATTAACTTTGCAACTGCTTAGTATTTCTACCTAGTGGCCTATAAGCACCTCAAATTCAGGTAGATATGTCCCAAACTGAACTCTCCACCTTCAATCCCGGAGACCAACCAACCTCAAACGTACTTCTTGTCTATGCATTCCTCAATGTCATCAATCTCAAAGTGATGTTAAAATCATCCTTCACCTATCCTTCTCCTTCACAATCCAATCTCAAGTCTTACTGATTCTTCATGTCTAAAAATTTCCCATAGTTGTCACTCATTTCCAGTCTGCCACTACCCGTGTTTTCCCGAAAATAAGACATCCTCCGAAAATAAGACCTAGCGCATGGAAAGATAAGACATCCCCTGAAAATAAGACGTAGCACAACTTTGGGAGAAAAAATTAATATAAGACACTGTCTTATTTTCAGGGAACCAGGGTAGCTATTTTCTTGCTTGGACTACAGTGGGTGCCTACAAATCAATCCTCTTTGCTGCGGTTATTGTGAGCTTTCTAAGCCATCTGCTCCTAGTCCAGATGCCCGCATGAGTAGCCACTCAATACATGTTAAACAAGTGGTTTAATGCTCTCCCTCAATTGAAAATATTGCAATGCTCTACATCCCATATGGCAAGCACTTCACAGCTTTTGCATTGCACTTTAGATCTTTCCAGCCTCAAACCATTACCTCCCATAACATCACTATTCCAGGAATAATCAACTATCTACAGTTCTCCAGACAAGTCACCTTCCTATGACACTGACTTTGCACATGCTCTTTCTTTCCTCTGGAATCCTCATCTCTACCAGAAAAACTCCTGCTTCTCCCTTTTAAGATTTTTAGAGCAACTTTTGCTATTCATCCCTCTTTTTCTTCTCCCCCCAACAAAGTTCTCCATAAATAGCATAATTTTTATTATTGAAGTACTTATTTGTACCTAACAATCATACACTGGCCTATAGAGTTGGGGTTGGAGAGCAAGCTGAAAATATTCTCACAGCTCCCCAACATTCCTCTTCCATTTTCAGAAAACGATTTCCCCCCCCCCCCCTTTAATCCTTACCTGATGATATTTTCCCATTGATTTTTAGAGAGGGGAAGACAGAAACATTGATGTGAGAAAAACACATCAATTAGTTGCCTCCTGTACACACCCTGACCAGGGGGGCCAGAGAGGAGCCTGCAACTGAAGTACGTGCCCTTGGCCACAATCAAACACAGGACCCTTCAGTCCACAGGCCAACGTTCTATCCACTGAGCCAAAATGACTGTGGCTCTTTCCTCCTTGTCATCCCAAGACCTTGAGATAAGTCTCCAAGTCCCTGACATGGTTTCCAGGTCATGGTCATCTTCTCCATACTAACTTCAGCTATCATGTGTTAGTGGCCATGCTCACAGTCTACACCATGGCTGTTGAGTGAGTGGTTCTCAGATTCCCCTTTTCTCTGACTGTAGTGTCAACTATTCAGAACTGCTTCACCAATAAAATCCTAGTCTGTGCCTCAAACTTCCTTCTATCCATTATATACAAATGTTACACTCATTTTTTCCTTAATCTCTACCCCTTCCCATTCATCCAATTTATCAGTGCCTTAATGATCTGACTTCTCTTACATACAACCCAGCCCAAATCCCAAAGCCACTCTCCAGCAGTCTCAAATGACCTGCCCTTTAGACACTCCTACCTTACAAAGACTGATCCTGGCACAATCTGTTTTTTTCCCATCCTTCATTCTTGGCAGCTCAGCACTGCTGGAGAAAAAGCAAAAGTCGGCCTCCAGCCAATGCAACTAATGGTTTCTTATCACAAACTAGTTTTCAAAGGTATTCCTCAATCTTTTTTCTTGGTTTTGGTCAGTTTTCTCACTCAGTCTTCCTGGTGGTTAATACTAGTAAAAATATAAGGCATGATCTATGATATTATGAGAAGAAATAAAAAGGCTAACATGGGAAATGTAATCTAGCTCTAATGTTATATGTCCTTCAGGTTCTAAGTCAACTACTTTCATGATACTCAGAATACTACTCCTGTCTTAATTCCTAGAGCTTTTTAGAGTTTGAAAAATGGACCACTGGGAATAATGCCTGCTTTCAAATCTCTTTATGTCCAAGGCACCCTTCATACTTATTATACTTTGTCAATGAAACATACACATCTTTTGTTTGTGTTCATTTTAATTTATTCTGTGAGGTTTAAAGTAACAGTTAAAACGTCATACAAACAAACCACAGAGGCTTTAGGTATAGTATTGACCAGTTTTAAAACAAAAACAGTGAATGATCACTCATTTTTAATTTTACATATTATTATACAAAGAACTATTAACACACAATTTTAATTCCTTATAAGCCTATTTGTCAAGCAATGAGATGACAATGCATCATAGCACAGCACAGAATGTCTCCTTTAAAAAACCACAGGAGCAGTATTTGGTAGAGTGGTTATGCATACAACTAACTTGGAGAGTAATATTCAACATTGGCCATAAAACAGGAAGCACATGTACATTAACACATGGAAAATGTAACTTTTATTAAGATAAAATTTTACTCTTTATGCTGTAAAAGCTGTAAGATACTTTAGAAGCAGACAATACAAGGTGCTTTCATTCTAGACTCCATAACAATATACTATTCCATTAGCTGCTTGAGTCTACAATATATTAGTATTGTTCATTGGCTTTTTAAAAATAAATTTTACTGATTTCAGAAAGAAAGGAAGAGGGAGAGATAGAAACATCAATGATGAGGATCATTGATAGGCTGTATTCTGCACTCCCCACACTGAGGATCGAGCCCATAACCCAGGCATGTGCCCTGAACAGGAATGGAACCATGGCCTTCTGGGTATATAGGTCAATGTTCAACCACTGAGCCATACCAACTGGGCTTCATTGGCTTTTTAAGTGAACTTCAAATATAAAAGTTTACAGTGAAAATCTAAAGTTACATTGGTTACATGTTACATTAAAATATAACTTCAGAAAAACTGACTTCAAAAAATACTGCATCACTGACAAAATAATTTTTAAATGTTGCTTTTAAAAGTAAAAATGTACTACTTTCAAATCATTTAACAGGTTTTGGTTTAAAATGCCATATTTGTGAAACCATTATGTAATATATTCTCAACTTTCAACAAAGTAACAGTTTGAAGCTGTTTTAAAACCTAATATCATCTAAAGAAATGGGTCGGCACACCTGTGAACTGGCTATCCTCCAAATAACATATTTATGTTTCCACCAGGAAAGGACTAAAAAAGCCACTGAATGCATTCTATTTTTTGACTGGACATAAATATTAAAAACCTCACTCAACAGTGCTACACAAATATTTAGTGTTTTTTGGCATTTAAGTCAGAGTAATGCTACCAATATATTTGATACCTGAAATTTTCACAAGAGTTTCAGAGGCAAAGAGAAAGACTTGAGAATGGTTAGTTGGGAAGGTAATGAAAACAACTGGCCAGTCCTCAATTTTAAAATTACTCTTTAAAAGATGGTGTACCTGATCAACATCATTGTTAATGAGTATTTAGACATAAATGATATTGACCGCATGTTTAATGCTCAGAACTTCTGAACTTTAAAATTAATCACAGGCTAGACCATCTCCTACTGAGAAACTGAAAATGCCCTTATGAAGTTCCACTAAATTCAACTACAAAAGCTCTAAAATGGGTAAAAAACATAAACATTATACCACACAAATAATTCTGCCAACAGGTATTTCTCTTGTCTCTTTCAGTGGCCTTAGAAATATGTGCTATTGTGAGAATATTGGGGGCAGAGGAGAAAAAAGGTTTTAAACAAAGGAATTAGTTTGGAGGATTTTCATATTGGCATCAGGGATTTAACTCTCTTGAGAGTTAAAACATGGTGGGGTGTGAGCTGTTAAAATGCTTTTAACTGTATTTTCCCCAAAAATAAAGCAGAACATTTCTTATAATTATTTTTAAAAAGATATTTTTGAAGTATAAATATTAATAAATACTACCAACATATATACCTTTACATGGATTAAATTGTTTACTTTGTGGATGACAATTGTAGGTTTTAGGGGATTACATCGGCCATCAGTTTTTAATACTGATAACAGTATGGAAGCTCAGCCAGCTACTTAAAAGCTGTCAGCAATTATTCTCTAAACCTAAGATATTTTTATATATATAAAAGCCTAAGCGACTAGACAACCAGACAACCAGATGACCGGCTGGTAGCTATGATGTGCACTGACCACCAGGGGGAAGACACTCAATGCAGGAGCTGCCCCTTGGTGGTCAGTGCGCTCTCACAGCGCAGCGGGAGCACCGCTCAGCTGACAAACGGGCGCCAGACACCGGGCTCACAGCTGGCGAGCACAGCTGGGGCGGCGTGAGCCTCTCCTGGGGACACTCTCCTCTGTATGCCTGAGTGTGGCCACGGTGGTGGGCACAGCAAGGCCAGGATGAGCTGGAGCGATGCAGCGCCCAGCCTGGGCTCAGGCTCCTCCCCTGCTGCCTGCCGCTTCTCGCACTACTTTGTGCTGCGTGGGATTGATGCAGACAGCGGGCTGGAGTCTGACAAACTGGCAGGTAAGGCCAGGCTGTGGTGGTGTGGAGGTCCACTGATCCCCTCAGGCCGGCCAAGGGACCCACAGGTGCACGAATCCATGCACCAGGCCTCTAGTCTATTATAAAGCAGACCCACAGTTCAAAATACTAGACTATGAGAGATCTAATTGAATCCTCCCAGTACCAAGATTTTTAGGCTTTTTTTCCTAACTGATGATCATTTTAATGCAATACTTAGCTAGTAGGAAGCACTGAAATTAATGCATGAAATTTGTGTCATTGTTTTTAATTCCTACAGTCACATAAAAATAGAAAACGGCATCCAATAAGGAAACAAAAATAGAAAGATTATGCCCCACTCTCAGCTGCTGGGGATCTCTGCCTGTAGCACATATTTAAAATTGAAGTTATGCTCTGTGAATTCCCTTTCTGTATATACAAAGGCTGCAATGACAACGGAAGTGTGCACCAGGAATACCACTTGGGTCAGAGCAAGTGAACTATTAACAAAACTGTCAGCATGAAGTATGAGGTACCAAACATAAATTACACACCATCATAGAATAGTGGTGACCAGTTCTTTAGAAACCAAGATTAAACATACAAAAAGAACTTGAATTAGTAAAATAAGTTGGCTTTACAATTCACTCTTGTACAAAGCAGGTAACGGTAAACAGAAAGGTTCTTTAACCCATATCTCTTCCCCGGTAAACAGTCCAAAGTTCAATGAGGACAAATACGCGGACCTGGCAAGTCAGTGTACAGTGAAGCAGGCATTTTCACCCACTCTCCAATGCCCCCAGTCCTGTCTCTGGGATCTTGCCATTAAACTGCTATTTGAGAAGTGTTTTCTCCACGAAACATGCCTTGAGCATGAAGTCCTTCCACACAAAGGGAGTGACTAATCCTTTCTCCCTAAAGTAGAAGACAATTCTCAGATTCCAAAGCTACTAAAGTCTTGAACAGGTTGCCAAAAAAATGTCTCATAGAGTATAACTATTTTAATTATAAGAGTTAGAATTAAGTTAGTAATAATTGTTATCTTAGAAAAAATAAATGTACAAGCTATTTCTTACTTGTCAGATGCACCATATGCATCATAAGGAAAAAGACACAGGCCATCAAATTATGACACAATGCTTTCATATCACATACAATAGAATGTTTATTTTATATTTACTGAAACAGAACTTTTTTAATTAAACAGACTTTTATCACAGTCTTGTGCATGTGTTAAGAAATAAACTGGTTAAGTTATACTATAACTTCATACTGAGTGCAACTTTTATGAATCACTTCTTACATCAGTCACCGATGCCTGCCTTCTCACAATGGCCCCCTGGGCGGCATCAAAAGCATTTCTGGAAAGGGTGCTCTACCACTGCCTCTGCTTAACGACAGCAGGAAGCTTTGGACAAATATGTCCTGCCTGACAGGAATCGATCAAACCAGCCTCTTGCTGCTTTGAGTGTGTTTCATCTATTCCAAGGTTTTGGCAATTTCTCTCACCTTCACTGCATCACTTAGCATGTGACAGGCAATCCTACTGCATGTGTCTCAGTGGCAAAATGTAGTACAACTTTACTTGTGGTTATCTTCCCTTCTTAGGACTGTAAAGCATTTTGTTGCTTTATAAGATAATATGGAATTGCAGTCATTTCTCCAGCGACGGATATTTGCTTCTCTACGATCAAATGTATGCCCCGCTGCTCTGCTTCCATGCTTATCTGCATACACAACTTCATTTCAGTGCTGAATCATAGTGAAATCTTTTAGGAGACATTTTTAAACGCCAATTAAATCTGACACATTTGATAGCAATGACACAGTGATGACACTATGACAAGCTGTGAACTCACACACACACAGGCTATTTTTCAGCTATTGCCTGGTTGACAGGAATAGTGAATGAAAAGTTCAGAAAAGTTAAAATGTGTGTGGGGGGGGAGAGGAAAGAGTACATTATAGAACTAATAAAATACAGTGTTCAAGCCTGTAATGTTTAACAGATTCACATAAGTGCAAAAACAATAAGCCCAAGAGCCAAAGAATAAGTATATAAGTAAAAGCTAGTAAAGCAAAAGATTATCTTTAACATAAAATTGGTAATGGTCCAATTTGGTTTAAATTCCCTTTATGTTCATATGGCTTACATGTAAATCTTTTTTTTTTTTTTTGAATGGGACTTGAAGTCCAAGTACAAATGCTCTTCAATATTTTAGCAACTGCAAAGACCAAGGATCGCTGCCTTCCATCAGCACTCCCACAGGGTGACGGTGGGGTCAGTGGCCTTCCTCAGCGGGCACCCTCCTGTGACGAGCAGCTCTGATCCTGTGTGGAGATGAGGAAGTGTCCTCCTCAGTTTCAGACCCTGAAGGCTCATGATCTCCCTCCTGGGATCCTGTGTCTCCCACCAGTTCCCGCAGAAACTTGAATTTTGATAGAAAAAGATGCCACACAAAATACCAACCTAAAGAGAGACAAAAACATTAAGAATAATTATTATATGTTATTAATCAACAACATTCCAGTTAATTGTGGGGCATATATGATAAAACATTATTATGCGCAAGTGATTACAAGAATACATTTATAAAACAAGTATTTTCTAAGCATTTATTATGGACAAGGTATACAGATAAACTCTGAATTTATAAAGGGATGGCAGAAACAGTTTATAACTTAATAGAATTTAGAATCCAAGCTTAGTCCATCTATATTAAAATTATAATGAGCTTTGATACCTAAGTAAAAGTGTTTATTATATTAAAATAAAATATTTGAGAGCATTTTTCTTGCAATCCACTTGGAAATTCATATCTCAATGCTAATATTGACTAAAAGTAGTTTTCTTCGATGAGAATACAAAAGAAACAGCCCTGGCCAGTGTGGCTCAAACACCAAAACACCAAATACCAGACACCAAAAGATTCGGGTTCCATTCCCAGGCAGGGCACATACGGTGGAAACTGATCGGTGTTTCTTTCTCATGACAACAAAGGACTTAGAACATCACAGGAACTTAAAAGACAAAGCAGCAGCATGTTTGAGCACTGACTCCAATTTTGAAGTAAATTCTATTGTGGGTAAAATGCTATCAAACAGCATCACACTCTAGAGAAATTGCACATGAGAGGAAGAGTCAATTGATGTGGCCAACTCCATTGTTATCTCAGGAAACTGCCATAGCCACCCAACCTTCAGCAGCCTCTGCAGTGATCAGTTAGCAGCTATCAACATAAGACTCTCAGCAGTAAAAGATTATATGCCTTGCTGAAGGCTCAAATGATGGTTAGCATTTCTTAGCAATAAAGTATTTTACAATTAAGGTATGTGCATTGTTTTATTAGATATAATGCCATTGTACCCATAAGAGACTGCAGTATACTGTAAACTAACTTTCATATGCACTGGAAAACCAAAAATGTGTGTCACTCGCTTTAATACAATATTCACTTTATTGCGGTGGTCTGCAACCAAACCCGCAATATCTCTGATGTATGCCTGTACATGGAACTACAGTGTTTTCTTTTGTGTCTGGTTTCTTTGACTCAGAATAAATTGTAAGGTTCTTCAATCTTATTATTGCTTGCATTACTTCATTTTTATCGCTGAATATTATTCTGTTGCATGGATAAATCACTTTTTTTTGTTTTTGTTTTTTATCCATTCACCAATTAATGAACATAAGGCTAGTTTCTAGTTTGGGCTGTTATAAAAAACAAAGTTTCCACCTTTTGGCTGCAATGACAATTTGTGTACAAGTTTTCACAGGGGCATGTTTTCATATCTATGGTATGGGTCATATGGTAACTTTATGCTTAACCATTTGTGAAACTGTTTTTCAAAACAGCTGCATCATTTCACATTCCCACCAGCAAAATGTGAAGTTCCAATTTCTCTACATCCTCACCAAGACTTTTATTGTCCACCATTTTTTATCATAGCCATCCTGCTGAATGTGAATTGTTTATCCTGTGGCTTTTATTTGCATTTCCTTAATGACTAGGGATTTGAACATTTTTTCATGTGTTTATTGATTATTTTCTTAGAGAAATGTCTATTTAATTCCTTTGCCCATTTTTTTAAAAAGTGGGTTGTTTTTCTTTTATAATTAAGTTAAGTGTTCTTTATATATTCTTGACACTAGACCCTTAACAAATGTATGATTTTGCAATATTTTCTGTCATTCTGTGGGCTGTCTTTTCATTGTCTTGATAATGCCCTTAGAACTACAAAAGATTTTAATTATGATAAAGCATAATTTATCATTTCTTTTTTTATGAAATCCAATCTATCTATTTTTTTCTTTGGTTGCTTATGCCATATGTAGGGAACCATTGACTAAACCTAGGTCATGAATACCTATGTATTCTAAGAGTTTCAGCTCTTACATTTAGGTCTCTGATCTATTTTAGTTAACATTGTGTGAGAGAGAGTTCCAAATTTATTATTTTGCATGTGGATATTGCCAGAGCTGACCAGAAGACCCTGAACAACAGATGAATGATTATTCTAATACATGTTTCTGTGAAAGAGAAGGCTAAGGCGCTACTTGCTATCGCTTCCAACTAGCCCTGTTTGCCTGTCTTCTTTGGCTTTTATTGTCATAACAGCTTGAACTAAAATTAATCTTTAGATATAATTAGCAGGATAAACATCCTTGAGAAAGTATATGCTTTTACAATGTCAGGTCTTTAAAGACTAAACATTGAAATTCTAGAGAAACAGCCCGGGGGATCAGACTTGTTTGGAAAAGTCAAGGTAGGGGCTGCTGCCTTCAGCAAGGTCTCCTCAGAGATCCCGACCTTTCAGAGAATCCTCCCACAGACATTCCAACCAAGTCCCCAAGATATCAAGTCCTTCCCAAATGATTTGCTGAAAACACTGCTCTTCCTCCCAACCCCATTAACTTCTCTTAGAAACTTTGTCAGAAATCAAATTACATAAATGTTATAGTTTATTTCTGGACTCTCAATTCTACTCCATTGATCTGAATGTCTATCCTTATTAACAGTACCACACCATCTTGATTACAGTAGCTTTGTGTTAAGTTTTGAAATCTAGTATAAGCCCACCAACTTTGTTATTTTCTACACTATTTTTGACTTATCTGAGTCCTTTGCATTTCAATGTGAATTTTAGACTTATGTTGTCAACTTCTGAAAAAAAAAAAAAAAAAAAAAAAAAAAAAAAAAAAAAAAAGCGGCAAGAATTCTGAAGGGAATTGCACTGAATCTGTAGATCAATGTAGGCATCAACACTTTTTTAACCTGTTAACCGAGCGGGACCTATAAATACGTCAAACATAAACACTATCGGGAACGGGTAGGACATATGAATACGTCCTTGAAATATATGTTGCGCCCTGAGAGGGACGGTATATATTTTTTGTAATCTTTATAATTGTTTGTAAAATTTATAATTTTTTAATTCGATGTTTCCATTTTTTTGTTGGTATTCTTTTCTATTTGTTTGTAATTTTGTATTTTCCTTTGTGCTTTATATATAAATAAACAAAAAAATATATATTTCATTTATTTTAATTAAGTATAAATAAAAAATAATAATATAAAATTACATCTGCTGGGTGTGACATACTGACACGTCCTAATGAAAGAGTATGTGCGTAATTAAAAAGGGAACTTCCCGGTTAACAGGACACATATGGTTTAGATAATCAGGAAAATCAGGAGAAACTGATACTAAATAATAAATACTCTGTAGGCTTATAATGTTTTAAATAGCCCAAAGCCATTGAATGGCTTAAATTAATAAAGCCAATTAATATCAACATATACTAAGGAAAATCCTTAACTCTTAAGTTAGTTTTGAGAACCCAATCTAAAAGTTAAAAGAACTCATTTGCCCAAAGTGCTGTGCTATACATAGAGATCATGAAAGTGAATTTACCATGAAGGAAATTATAGTCAAGCTCAAAGATGAGAGTCTTAACCTCATAAAAATGAAAGATTGCAAAAGTGGTTACAAGCCATAAAATGACCACAAAGAAAAGTAAGGGAGGTCACTAAAGGTCTTTTGACTAAAAAGAAACTATGGTGAAGGGCTGTCACCACTGGAGTTCCCACCATAAAATACCGTCGTGCCCTTGGGATGATTATGTGAAAGCAAAGTCTCCCAGCATGGAAATCTATTAAAACAAGGCACTGAGGATAGCTGTAGGAGTCAGTTTAGGGAGACAGAAGAGCATTCAATTAGATCACAAACTCTTTCCCAATTTAATAAAACAACCCCCCGCCCCCATTTTTTAAATCATTGTAACAACTAAACAATATAAGGAATTCAATTGTAAAGTCAAAATTGAGAACATGATGGCCAGTGAGAGAAAGTCCAGTGTGGAGCAGCATGTTAAGACCATTTCCTCCACACTTACCACTGCTCTCCACACCAGTTACACTGCTCAACTCCACATGTCTTTCATTTTTACCCCCAAATATGGGGCTAAGAAACCCTGAAAAGTATGCTTATTTTCCCCTATTCTCTCTGGGCATATGGTGAGCAAGGGTAGGGTAGAGGTAGATAATGACACTGTTTCCCACAAAAAATAAATCATCTTAGAGAATTCCCCTAATATACATATGAAGTTCATCTGATGGCAGCCACAAAGAACAAATAGCCACTGTGCTTGGTTTTTACAATGGCTACTGTAATGACAGGCTGGGAGGGCAACGTGAAGGGATAAATTGTAGTGCTGATAAGAACTGCTGTAATGTTCACTACATTAAGGGAAGTTCACCAAGTTGTTTTCTAAGGAAAATGATTAAGTTCTTACATAGCTGTAGTTTGGGGGAGAGAGGTGGGAGGAAGATGTGGGAGAGGGGGATTTTCATATCACAGTATCTAGAATTAGTAAAATCTAATGCTTCTATTATACAACAGATTCTTTATCAGTGTTCAGAGTCTGAACTAGGAACAATACTAAAAATGCCAGGCAGTTTGAACGGAAGAATCACACACTACACATGGACAGGGTGGATCAAAAGTAGGTTTACAGTTGTAAGTATGTGAAACTACTTATTCTTATATTTTTATTTATTAATTCTTGTATTATTTTCCATATGAACAACTGTAAACCTACTTTTGCCCCACCCTGTATTTTGGGAAAAAGTACCATTTCTAAAACGCCAATGGGTATATACCAGGTAAAGCATGACTTAGAAAAAAACACACAAAGGATATAGTAGTACAGCACCAGATAAAACTGCTAATAAAAGCAAAGATGGTGGCGCCCACAGCCAATAAGGAGATAATATGCTAATTGACTGTCACACCCTCAAAGATGGCAGTGCCCAGTCTCCTCAGCCCCCCAGTCGCCCAGGGCCAGCCCTAGGTGCAAGCAAGCCTCAGGTGCCAACTGCCCAGCCACTCAGGGCTGGCCTGAGGGATGACCAAACAACTGAACAAGCTGGCTGCATGGGACGACCAAACTAGCTGGGGGATGAGGGACAA